TGAAGTCGTTCGAGTCCTCCCCCGGCCCAAGGCCCAACCTTGACCTAGTCATAGGGCCATGGTCTTTGTTCGTCTGGCCAACTTGTACAACAAGATAGGTAAACTCAGTGAGTCCAAATCATATTGTGAAAATGCTATCAAGATTTATTCGAAGCCGCTTAAAGGGGTCCAGCCAGAGGAGATCGTAAGCGGTTTGGTGGATATTTCGGCAATTTACGAGCCCATGGACGAGCCAGAAAAGGCGCTCGAGCTGCTGCAGAAAGTGGTGGATTTGTATGGGAATGCTGCATGTAAGCAGGGCATTATATCGGGAATTGAGGTCCAGATAGGGGTTCTGTACTATATATTGGGGAGTTATTCGGAGTCATATGAGTTCCTTAAGAATGCGACTCAGGAATTCCATTCGACTGGGAAAAGAAAAGGAAATCGGCCATTCTTGGTATTGCGTTGAATCAGATGGGTTCACGTGCGTGCAGATTTCGCGATTCAACGAGGCTGCTGATTTGTTTGAGGAAGCCAGAGATATTCTGGAGGCCGAATGTGGGCCCTACCATGCTGACACCCTAGGGGTCTACAACAATCTTGCTGGAACTTATGATGCAATGAGAAGGTAATGTAGCAATTATTGTGTGATAGAATTCTTGAGTTTGATATATTAGCCTTGGATATTTCTTGTATTGTATTAAAATGGTGAGTAATAACTATTAACTAACAAGAGATGCTGGCTCTTTCTTTTTCCCAACAGAACAAAAATTTTAAGTTACCATATACGAATTCGTTAAGCAACTTCCAATTGAAATATTGGAATACAAGAGGAAAAGCTCGGGACTGCGAATCCTGTTGTGGACGATGAGAAACGCAGGCTGGCGAAGCTACTGAAAGAAACAGGATTGGAATGGAGAAGGAAATCCAGATCACTCGAGACCTTACTCGACAGGCACAATATAACCACGTTATTCGATGTTCAAGAGTCGTGAGAAGGTTCGTACTAAAGATGCTTTTTTTTTTTCTTTTTCTTTTTCCTTGTTTGTTGTGTGTGCATTGCACAATTCAATTACAGTTGGGTTCTGTTATAGTGTTATATATATTTTTTTTTTTTTTTTTTTTTTCTGTTTCTATGAATTTGAGGTGTGAATAAATAAATGAAACTTTAAAAAAAAAAAGACAAATTTTTTATTGTATTTACCAGAGAATGAGACTGTGTGGGGATGTTGAGGTAATTTACCGGGGTTGGTTTGTGAATTTCGTTGTCATTGTCCTTTTGTTGCATTTTCTGGTTTCATTATAAGATAAGATGGGATTTCTTTTTCCTTTGTTTGTTGTTACAACTATCGTTTATGTGAGGCTTTCAACTGCAGATCCTTTTCGCAAACCAAATTAGTGAATAGTGTGCTCTCAAGTTGTCTCCAGTTTATTGAGTTTCTCTTAATTTTTCATGGTAAATTAAAATCCTTAACAATTCAAAATTTGTGGTGTCCATTTGTGAGTATGGATATGGCACGCTGTGTATGGCAACGAAATAATTATGTTCATTGAAGTCCGAAGTTTGATGGTCTTTGTTGCCAACGTTTGATAATGGGTTGCGGACCTTAAAATTTAGTGGTCCGACAATTGCCAACAATATTTAATTTCAGAAATAGTGAAACCCAATTCAATCAAAACCAAAAATATTATGTGGTCAACGTTGATGAAAACACTACTCAGACGGCGACAACAACTGTTATTGTAATCGACTTTAAAGAACAAAGTTGCGGTAAAATGAGGTGGCATTTGAGCTTTTTTCTTTACTTTAGGCAGCCAACTGTTTTAAGTTTTATGATACAGGTGAAAAAGAAAAAAAGTTTGTTAAAAAACATTAAAATGCATGACGAGAACATGGAAGCTTTTCCAACAGTATTATTGGATGAATGTCCGAAATTAATGTAAAGAAAAAAATGTTTTTTTTTTTTGTCTTGCACAAGACAAAACTGTAAGTTCTAAAATGTTTTCTACATCCCCAACAACAACAAATTAAACCAAGTTGAAAAGTAAGCCAAAAAAAAAAAAAGTATATCAAGCAAAGTAGCAAACCTCAAAAATGTTTCATCCTCTTTAACACATCTGCTGCCTGTGCAGCTGCCTCGAACTCCACGAACTGTTCCCCGGAGAACGAGGAAAAATCACTGTCGGCAATCTCATACTCTCCTCCACATGAGGAAAGTCGACCATATAGTGAAGCCCACGGCTCTCGTGCCTCGCGAGTGCACTGCTCACCACCAATTTCGCGCAGCAGAACAAATTCCTCATCTCGCAAGCCTCAAGCCCGACCATTGTCGGCTCCCACCCTTGCTGAAACAAATAACTCTCCCATTCCAACTCCAAATCCCCAATCTTTTTCTCAGCCATCTCAAGCCTAGCAGTCGACCGAACAATCCCCACATAATCCCACATCACCTTCTGAAGATCCTTCCTGACCTCCCTCGTCCAGCAAACAATCTTGCTCAATATAGTTTCCCCAAGCGATTTTGGCATAACAGGCCGGGCCCACCAATGGGAAGCAGCCCTGTACTCGGCCCGCGAACTCCTCGCATGCTCGATCGACGGCCCAACAGCCCGCCGAGCGAACACAAGGGCCTCAAGAAGGGAATTGCTCGCGAGACGGTTTGCACCGTGGAGGCCCGTGCATGCCACCTCGCCGGCCACGTAGAGTCCCTTGACGTTCGTTTCTCCCTGGAGCCCGGCCCGAACCCCACCACACATGTAGTGGGCCGCAGGGACAACTGGGATGGGCTGGCGAGTAATGTCGAGCCCGTGCCGAAGGCACTCGGCAGCTATGTTTGGGAAGTGGGATAGGATTTGGTCTTTCGGTTTGTGGCTTATGTCGAGGAGAACGTATTTCTCGTTGCGTTTTTTGAGCTGATCGTCTATGCTGCGGGCCACAATGTCCCGTGGGGCGAGCTCGGCTCGCTCGTCGTATATAGGCATGAACCTCTCATTGTTTAAGTTGAATAGGAGGCCTCCATCTCCTCTTACGGCTTCGGTTATCAGAAAGGCATTCTCTCGAGCCTTTGCTGGCTTGATAGGGAGTCCCTCGTCGGCTAAAGCAGTCGGGTGGAACTGAACGAACCTGGTGACATAATTCAGCAGATGTATCAAACTATTTAATTATTTTCAACGCTTGGGAGGAAAAGGATTTTGCATCATGATCACTTAGGCTATATTTGGGAACCAAATAAGCTAGCTTATAACTTATTTGGTGAGCTTATAAGCTTCTTGTATTCAAATAAGCTTCGTTTGGTATGGCGAACTTTTTTAAAAAGCTCGAGCTTATCTCATATAGCTTCTTTGGGTAGCTTTTCAAATAAGCTATTTGAAATTTTTATTTCAGCTAGCTTATCCGCTAATTTTATCAAACAATTTTATCATATAGCTAACTTTTCAGCTATAAGCTATAGCCTATAAGCTCGAAAACCACTTATCAGCTATAAACAGTTTATCGGCTAGTTTTACCAAACATAGTCTTAAACATATCAAACTATTTAATTATTTTCAAATGCCATGTTGGACAACTTGTTTAATGAAGAAGTAGGAATAATTAATTTTCCATGTGTTTATGACAAGCCCTCAAAGTCATCAGCTAGTTTGTGCATTTAAGAAGAAGGAGAGAAGTTTAGTTCATGACTTAGTATAGCCAGGGTAGCTTACTCCATATTAGATATTACAGCTTCGGCTCGGTGCGCCATAGCCATCCCATCCCCAGTGGCAACCTATAGCACACATTAACAGATTCTAAATAAAAACTGTATAAAATAAAAGTAATAGATTTAATGTTTTTTGTTAGACACAAGCACGTCAACTCGTATGGCTCAATGACTGATAGCAAATCCCAAATGATAAGTGCTGAGGACACGACTATATTGTTCACGTATATATCTATTGATTTTATATCACAATAATGAGTACACTGAGTAGCAACATAAAATGAAAATCGATAATACTTCATTTTTGACAATATACGCCAGAATTCTGAGAAAGATAAAGAAAATGAAGTTTTACCGGAGGATTTGTAGTGCTCGGGTAGATATGCCCAGCCCCTCCTGATGCAAGTAAGGTTACCTTTGAGATGAATCTCACGACCTACAAGTTCAAAAGATAGGAAGCAGGGATAACAATATTATACATGTTAGTGAGCAGGCCTCGAGCATCTTAAAAGAAAATCCACAGAAACAACATGAACCTAATCCACTTTCTTACCTCATTTGTCTCTGTATTCAAAGTGTCAACACCATGACAAACTGTATCAGAACCAACCTGCAAGCCACCAAGGAAAAATTATGTTATAGAACACCACTCAAGCACATGATATATAACTCAAACTTTGGATTTCACATCAATGATCTAAATCCTTTTTGTTTTATCATGTTGAATTCCTTCAAATGTCGACGTACAACAGGATCCTCTGCTAGTAATAAACCAATTGAACGCATCTCAATTGCGATGTCAAACTTAAGTTTGAAAAAGCACATATACACACAGTTGCACACCAAAAGGTCTTAACCGAACCTGTGAAGTCAGCAAATCTATTGCAAAATGGTGCTCAAAGACGAAAATATTAGGATCCTTCCTGACTGCCTCCAACAGTGCCCTCTCTATTTCTCGGCCAGTCATATCAGCCGCGTGTACAATCCTTCGATGAGAGTGTCCCCCTTCCCTCGCCAGGTGCAGATTCCCATCCTCCCCATGATCAAATGAAGCCCCCATTACAATCAATTCCCTTATTCTCTCGGGTCCTTCAGTGCACACAATCTGTTAAATATAATAACCCTTTGTGATCAAGGAGTTGAAAGATAAACAATCTGTTAAATGTAATAACCCTTTGTGATCAAGGAGTTGAAATATAAACCCTTCACATTTATAACCAGTATATTGTAGAGTTTAGATAAAAGAAAATTATATTGGAAACTTCCACCCAAATCCCCCCAACTCCCATTTTTTCTCTCTTTTTTTTTTTTTTT